GAGAGCCCCTTCCAAGGCCTAAAGGGGCTCCAGGAGAGCTGGAGAGGGACCTAGGACAAGGGATGGAGGGACAGGACACAGGGAATGGCTTCCCAGTGCCAGAGGGAAGGGTTAGATGGGATATTGGGAAGGAATTCTTGGCTGGGAGGGTGGTGAGGGGCTGGGATGGAATTCCCAGAGAAGCTGTGGCTGCCCCAGCCCTGGAAGTGTCCAGGGCCAGGTTGGACAGGGCTTGGATCAATCTGGGATAGTGGAAGGTGTCTCTGCCCATGGCGGGGGGGTTTGAAAGGCGATGATCTTTAATTTCCCTTCCAACACAAACCATTCCATGATTCTATGTCCCAGTCCACTACCAAGGTGGAAACCAGTGTGGAAAGAGCTGCCAAGCTTCCTGAATCCATCTGCAGCTCCAATCCATGTCAGACCCACCCGTTACCTGCCCAGCCGGGTGCTTTGATCCTCCTGCTTGTCAGATCCAGGGAGGATCTGCCCTTTGCCCAAAGGCACCTTCCAAAGACTCACTTGTGGGAATCACCCGACCTTTACAAGCTCCATAGGTGAGAGAGAGAGAGAGAGAGAGAGAGAGAGAGAGAGAGGGAGGGATGAAACGTCTCACAGAGCTGTGCCAATAAAAGGGTTTTAGAGCCAGGCAGAAACATGCTGGATCTTGGCCATGCATTGTAGGGAATGGTAGTAAAATCAATTAGTAGGAATAAGGCTGCTCTGACTAATGAGCTAATGAGTGGTGCCTTGGTGAAAATGGCTCTGAAAGAGCTGCAGGGTTGGATTCCTGCTGAATTATTCACAGGGATAGGCCAGAGTCAGGCTTGGGGCTGTTTATGTCTTATACTTGGCTTTTCGAGGTTTCTCTTGAATTTTTCGAGATGTTCCCCGTTAATGGAGGAGGGTGGAGGTACCTGTTTAATTCCTCCCTTTTTGGTGCAAAGTGTCCCATCTCTGGAGAGTTGGGGTTTATGGGGGATGCAAGTGGGGGCTGGGATGTGTCAGAGGGGAAATTTGTGGTGGTTTAATCCCTGACACTCTGAACACCAGGTTTGCTGATCACACAAACCTATCCTCGCTGCTTCCATGAGTTCCTTTCATTAGTGATCCAGCTGCTGGAACAAGTCCAGAGGAGGCCACAGAGATATTCCAAGGGCTGGTGCTGCTCTGAAGCCAGGCTGGGAGAGCTGGGTGTGTTCACCTGGAGAAGAGAAGGCTCCAGGGAAACCTTAGAGCTCCTTCCAGGGCCTAAAGGGGCTCCAGGAGAGCTGGAGAGGGACTTGGGACAAGGGATGAAGTGATGGACAAGGGGGAATGGCTTTCCAGTGCCAGAGGGAAGGGTTAGATGGGATATTGGGAAGGAATTCTTCCCTGGGAGGGTGGTGAGGTGCTGGAATGGATTTCCTGGAGAAGCTGTGGCTGCCCCATCCCTGGAAGTGTTCAAAGCCAGGTTGGAGCAACCTGGGCTAGTGGGAGGTGTCCCTGCCCATGGCAGGGGTTGGAACTGGATGATCTTTCAGGTCCCTTCCAACCCAAACCATTCCATAATTCCATGATCCCATAATATTTACTCCTCTTACAGGAATGTTTTTGGGTTTAACCTTTCTGTGGGTGTGTGAGAAGATCTTAGCACTGGGATTGACACTGTCCTGGCAGCATTCCTCCCTTAAATCCAATCATACTTTTTTGCTCCTACATCCCTCCGCCCTGGAAGAAACCTGAGATTCATAGGAGATATACAAGAACTTATCAGAGTAATGAGAATGCAGAGTTTAAAACAATGAAGTCAAGAAGGCTCTCAAACCCAACCAGTCCCTGAAACTCTGCCCTGGAGGTGGATGGGCAATTTTAGGACTTCCTAGTGGGATCTCAGCATGGTAATGGGGCAGCATGAGCAGATCTATTGGGAGGTTTTGGGATTTGGAGGCTCTTTCCAGTGTGGATGCAACTGCTCCCATCAGATGCCTCCACCCAGAGACTGTCTCAGCTGGTAAGGTAGGACAGGAAAGGGCTTTGGCACAGGTTTCTCAGGCTGGAAGTAAACATTTGGCTGAACTTCTCCTTTTATTTATGACACAAACTCCTCTGAAATGCAGAGAGTTCTTGTATTAATTTACCTTTGAACATAAACACTAAAAATACCTATTTTTTTCCCAACCATCCCGTGGGTCATTGAGGCAGATTTATGCAGCTTCATAATTCTTTTCTCTGTGGTTAATGGGAACCCCCCCAACACAATGGTTATGGTTTCCCACAAAATAATAAAAGGAATTCAACAAAACCCTCGTTGGATGTTCCCATTAGTTCCTCTTGTTCCTCTGGGGAGCTGCCAGCCCTGCAAGGCAGCTGCCACACAAAAGAGGAGACATTTCAGGCCTTCAAGACTCAGATAAGATCAACTGAAACCATAAACAAGCCAGGTATGTTGACACCCCCCAAAAAAACAACCCTCCAAACCCAAGGAGGGAGCAGCATTTAAGAGCAGGGTGTTGGCACATGTTCTTCCCTCCAAGATTTGACAAGGCAGTGGAGATCACATTTCAGATGTGCATGTGAAACCAGTCATTTGGCACATTGTTGGAGGCCTCTTAATACCAAAAACCACACCCCAGCCGTATTAAATTGTTTTCTTTTCTTCCCCCCTTCAAGAACAAGGCAAACACAATCAGCAAATTTCTCTCTTCTTAATAGGATTATAACATTCCCCTGCTGAACAGGAGGAATGGCAAAGCCGGGATATACCAAAAAAGTCTTTCCCTGGGTGATTTTGGGGCTGGAAATAACTGCTTAACTTTCATAATCGACATAATTACTGTATTACAGAGGCAACCGTGAAAACAATCCGTCTGGATTCCTGAGGATTTAAGTCATCCAGGAGTGCTGCTTGTAAAAGAAACGGGGTTTGTAAGATGATGAGACCACGTTTAGTTGAGATATTGGGGAAAAATCCTTCCCTGTGAGGGTGGGGAGGACCTGACACAGGGGATAGGGATAGAAAGGATGAGGGAGGGTCTTGGAATCATAGACTAGAATCACAGGATGGTTTGGGTTGGAAGGGATCTTAAAGATCTTCCAGTTCCAACTCCCATCATGGGCGGGGACATCTCCCACTACCTCAGGATGCTCCAATCTGGCCTTGAACCCTTCCAGGGATGGGGCAGCCACAGCTTCTCTGGGCAATCTAGGATGGTGGGGTCACTCCTTATGGTGACAAACTCCCAAATCCTCCAAAAAATGGGGAGAGACTCCAAAATACTTCACACTTTGTTGTTTTCTGTGGTGGCTTGATGGAATTTTCTTTACTTCAGGTAAACCAGAGCGTGTTAATAAACAGAGCTCTAAACAAAGACACAATGATACGACAAGAGAGGATGAGAGGGGTAGAGTTAGATGGAATTTTGGGAAGAAATTGTTCCCTGTGAGGGTGAGGAGGCCCTGGCACAGGTTGCCCAGAGAAGCTGTGGCTGCCCCATCCCTGGAAGTGTCCAAAGCCAGGTTGGAGCAATCTGGGATAGTGGAAGCTGTCCCTGCCCATGGTAGAGGGTGGGAACTGGATGATCTTTAAGGTCCTTTCCAACCCAAACCATTCTATAATTCACTGGAGCTTCACATTTGGAGAGAAAATGATTGGGTTGTTCATTCAATATTCCCAGAAAATCTTGGAACGTTTTAAGATAGAGCAAGACAAAACGGCCTCAAGTTGCATCAGGGGAGGTTTAGATTGGATATTAGGGAAAAGGGCTTCATGGAAAGGATTGTCAAGCACTAGACTGGGCTGCCCAGGGAAGTGGTGGAGTCGCATCCCCGGAAGAGTTCAAAAAACCTGTGGATGTGGCCCCTGAGGACACGGATTAGTGGTGCTGGGTTTGTGGTTGGACTTGGGGATCCTAAAGGTCTTTTCCAGCCTTAATGATTCTATATTGTAAGAGTTCAAGTGAATAACCCCGAATCAAGTCCCTCTGATGGTGTGATACAACAAAAGTGGTGGGAATATCTCCTGAAGTGTCTTTATTTCACCTTTTCCTCCTTTGTCATTAAAAGTGTGTGTTGGAAGGGCACCTGGAACAGCCAGGAAAGGCTCTTCTTGACCAGTTGTGGCAATCCCACATTCCAAATTGTTCATCACACCTTCCGGGAGGATTTACAAACATGCCACTGGCCTGAGGCACAGGAAAAACCTGAAGGCGTCTGAGGCAGCAGGAATGGGGATGGGAAAGGTGTTTGGGAAGCAAAGGAGTCAGGAGTTGCAAGCACACGTGGAGAGGGTTGGCCCAGAGCAGAGGAGCTTCTCCCTGCACCATCCTCCTTAAACCCTGGGGATACTGAACCTGAGACATTCCCTTGGCCCAAATTTATGGCCTGGTCCTGTTGTCTTCCCAGTGCTCCATGTTTTTTTCCTGTGAGTAAAGGGATTTCAAGCCAGTTTTCCACTTTAAGGCCAGGTTGGACGGGGCTTGGAGCAACCTGGTCTAGTGGAAGGTGTCCCTGTCTGTGGCAGGAGGTTGGAATGGTCTTTCAGGTCCCTTCCAACTCAAACTATGATTCTCTTGGGGATAAACTCTGTCCCCAGCTGAAGGTCCAAACACAGAGGAGCAAAGTCCTTGAGGTTCCAAGCCTTGAAGCTCACAGCCACTAATGCTTTTTCCCCCCAGGGTTTCTGGAAACCACCCAGACCTCCCTAAAAAGGAAGGAGAAATATCACCAGGTTTCAAGGCAAGACAGGGCCACCGGGATTATTTAACACCCCTGGGCTTCCCCGTCACGAGGCACCCACTTCAAACAATCCCAGCCATTGTCCAAAGCCTGAACCCTAATTTTCTTCTCCAAGGAACATGAAAAGAGGTGACGGTGGAGGCAGGAGGTGGGGCCTGATTTGCAGCTCCTTCAATTCATTTATAGCTCAATGGGACTCGTTTTTCCAGTAGATTTGGAGCTGGGGACACGATCAGTGCATGGCAAACCCCCAGGAGGTGGGACATCAAAGCCAGTGGTGAAGATCAGTGACAACTCAGGCAACGATGAAGGTGTTTCTGTCTCTTCTGTTGGCTGCCTTCATTTGCACAGAATTTGGTAAGTTCCTGCTCTGATTTACCCAAGTCCCAACAGGATATTCAGCAGGATGGGGTAGGATGTGTCCCCTTCCCCCCGAAATTCAGGCCTCCTGCTTGGAGCAGTTTTTAGCCCAAAAGAAAAAAAATCTATCTTTGGAATATTTCCAGCCTGTCAGATGTTCAGGATCACGATGGTGTCACTGGGATTGTTGGTTCAGGCTCTTTAGGAAGGATAATCACACAAGGCAGGGTGTGATTATGCCATGTCATCTCTTTAATGCAAATTTCAGCTCTCACTTTTTTACAGGTCCTTGCTCAATATCACTCCTTTTTATTTATTTTTTTTAACGTTATTTTTAACTTTCTGGACCTTTTTTTTCTTAATACTTAACCCTGAAAGTTGCCAGCCAGTTTAATGCAGTGTGTGTGGAATCTCTCTAAAAATAACTTCCGTGTGGGATTTATCAAATTTTAACCACTAGAAGTGGGAAAGAGGGGCTGGGACAAAGCTGGTGGCCCATGTGCTGCAGGGTTGATATTTGGGATGATCTGTCTGGGATGTGGAGGTGGGGAACAAGCCCCATGAATCCAGGGATGACATGGAAACCTTCCCTCTCTGTTTCCATCAGTGAAATTTAGTTATTTCTCCTCCATCACCGGCTCCTTGAAGCCAAGTGTGGAATGACATTTAGGACACTGGTGTTTTAATCCCCTAGAAAGCAGGGAATCCCCTCATCCCGGGAAGATCTACATGAGCAGTGATTCCATAACCTCTAAGGGTGGAAGGGGGCTGTCCAGAGCGAAGGACATCCTGGGATAGATTCCCCATCCCTTGTTTCCACCACCACAAAAACTTCTTGCTCCTTCTGCTGATCCCAAAATCTCCTTTGGTGTTCTCCTGGATGACCAAGGAAAGTCCTGTGCAAGAGCTGGGACTATTAATTGGGATATTCCCAAACCCCAGGTGGTTTAGGGTGTGATTTTATTCGTGTCTGGATGGGACGTGGAGCTCTGTCAGGATTTTCTTTCAATTTCTATTTATGAATTTATTTTTAATTTTCTACTTCGTTTCCCTTCCTAAATCCTCAGACCTGCAAGGGGCAGATTCATCAGGGGAGGAACAGGTGCTTTGTTTGGTTTTCTTTTCAGAGAGCAACACAAATGCTGTGGTTTGGATTTGCAAAATCTCCTGAAACCTGAGACCGGTGACGATTCTTCCCCCCCAGAGATGTGTTTGACAACTGTCAGACTCAGAATTAAAGCAAACAAAACATTATAAAGTTTGCTTTGAATAAAAGCAAGAAAATTCCCGGGTCTGTTTAGAAAAGGGCTTTTTTTTTTCTTTCTAGCTTATTAGTTGATCTCTATTTTCACAAGGTGACTTTCTGACATCCTGTTGTGGGTGTGTCGGGATGAGCTGAATCCTTGCTCCTTTTTCAGTGGGATTTACAGGAATTTCAGCAGGAATGTCACACAGATAAGGTGACAACTGCCTTCCAGACCAAAGAGGGGCTGCTGGGCTGTACCAAGTACGTTGCTGTGATTTTAAGACAAATTCAGGTTTCTCTAAGGGGGTGGAAAAGAGGATCTGGAGGAGAGGACCCACATCAAGTGTTCCTCAGGAAAACCTGCAGAATGCCCTGAAAATCTTATCCTGAAACATCTTTCTTGTTGATGGGAAACACCAGACACTATTTTGGCTTGACACCTTAAGCTTGGAGTGCTCTGTGTCACAACAATTCTCTGTGTCACAACAATTTGGGCTCTTCAGTGTTTTTATCTAAAATTTCTCCCTCTCAGAAGATTTTGGACAAGGAAAGACTTGGGCTGTGGTTATTTTGTGTGTCTGGGAGCTGAGAGGAACCTGCAGCTGGAAAGGGCCTTTGCAGCTCAACAGGGAGCTGATGAGGAACATCCATAAACCGGTGAGGAACAAGGCAGGGTCAGATTTGGAGTCCTGAGTACCAAATTTTGTTTCTATGGCCTCCGTGTGGAGCAGAAGATGTCCCCATAGAATCCATCAAGGTGGTTGTTTCATGTTTAATTCTTCCCTGTGAGGATGGTGAGGCCCTGGCACAAGCTGTCCAGAGAATTTGTGACTGCCTCATCCTTGGAAGTGTCCAAGGACAGGTTGAAGCAACGTGAAGAATGAAGACCATCTCATTCCAACCCCTTGCCATGGGCAGGGACACCTTCCACTAGACCAGGTTGCTCCAAGCCCTGTCCAACCTGGCCTTAAAGTGAAAAGCTGATTTGAAATCTCTTACTCGCTGGAAAAAAACATGGAGCACTGGGAAGACAACAGGACCAGGCCATAAATTTGGGCCAAGGGAATGTCTCAGGTTCAGTATCCCCAGGGTTTAAGGAGGATGGTGCAGGGAGAAGCTCCTCTGCTCTGGGCCAACCCTCTCCACGTGTGATTGCATCTCCTGACTCCTTTGCTTCCCAAACAACTTTCCCATCCCCATTCCTGCTACCTCAGGTGCCTTCAGGTTTTTCGTGTTCCTCGGGCCAGTGTCATGTTTGTAAATCCTCCTGGAAGGTGTGATGAACAATTTGGAATGTGGGATTGCCACAACTGGTCAAGAAGAGCCTTTCCTGGCTATTCCAGGAGCCCTCCCAATATGCACTTTTAGTGAGAAAGGAGGGACATTCCATGAGCAGGGACACCTTCCACTAGACTAGGTTGCTCCAAGGCCCATCCAACCTGGAATACCTTCAGGGATGTGGATTCCACAACCTCTCTGGACAACCTGTTCCAAGATTCTCATGGACAAGCTGTTGGGGTGCGGGCTGGGTGACCAGACAGAGCTTGAAAACTAAATGTCCAGGCCCGGAGATCAGTGACACAAAGTCTACTTAAAGACCAGTAACTGGAGATTCGAGATCAAAACTGACTCCAGCCCCATCCAACATCCTCATCAATGATCTGGAGGAAGGGGCAGAGCACCCTCAGCAAGTCTGTGGGTGACACAAACCTGGGAGGAGTGACTGATACCTGGGGGGGTCGTGATCCCACCCAGAGGGACCTTGGCAGGTTGGAGAAATGGGTGAAGGGAACCTCATGACATCCTGGGTTGCATTAAAAGAAGTATCAGTCGAGGTGGATGATCCTTCCCTTCTGCTCAACACCTGGAGCCCCATGCCCTGTTCTATGCTCCCCTCAGGAAAAATCACATGGACACACTGGAGAGAGTCCAAGGAAGGGCCACGAGGAAAACCAGGGATGGCTCAGCCTGGAGAAGAGAAGCTCAAAGGGAGAATCTCAGAAATGTCTATAAATCCCTGGAAGGAGGGGACAAAGAGACTCTTCCCAGTGGTTCCCAGTGCCAGGACTGCAGGCAACTGCCACAAATTGGGACGCAGGAGGTTCCCTCTGAATGCCAGGAAACACTTTTGGACCAGGAGGGGGGCTGAGAACTGGCACAGGTTGCCCAGAGAGGTTGGGGAATCTCCATCCTTGGAGAAATTAGGACTCAATCTGGTTACATTCCCGGACAAGAGGTTTTAGGTGGTCCTACCTGAGCAGGGGGACTGGAGTAGACAAGCTCCAGAGGACTCTTCCAAGCTCCCCCGTGATTCTGGGGGTTTGGGAGTCTCTGGTGCCTTCCTGATGTTCCACCAGTGCAAAGCAAAGGAGAGAAGGAGCTGCAGAGACCGAAGCTGAGGTCGATCAGCCACAAGGTCTTTCCTGATTCACAGGGTCTTCTGGGTGTGGGGCTTTGTCTTGCTTGACTCTGGGGTCACAAGGGCTCCACTCCCACCTCTGAAGCATAAATTATAAATCACACCAATTAATTAATTAATTAATTAATTAATTAGCCCCTCTACTCCTGTTATCCCTTTTCCCGTCACCGCAGGGCCCAAGGTTCCTGTGGAGCCTCCAGACATCCCGGGGGTCCTGTATTGATCAGGAGGGTCCCAGATTGATCCAGTGGATCCCAATTGATCCAGGGGATGCCGTGTTGATCCAGGGGGTCCTGATTGACCTGAGGGGTTGCAGATTGATCCGGAGGGTCTGGATTCATCCAGGGGATCCTGTATTGATCTAGGGGGTCCTGTATTGATCTGGAGGATCCTGCATTGATCCTGGAGGTCCCAGGTTGATCTGGGGGTCCTGGGTTGATCCAGGGGATCCCAGAATGATCCAGGGGGTCCTGTATTGATCCAGGGGTCCCAGATTGATCTGAGGGTCCTGATTGATCTGGGGGGTTCAGATTGGTCTGGAGGATCCCACATTGATCTGGGGGGGTCCTGATTTATCCAAGGAGTCCTGTATTGATCCCGGAGGTCCCAGATTGATCTGGGGGTCCTGGGTTAATCCAGGGGATCCCAATGGATCCAGGGAATCCCATACTGATCTGGGGGGTCTGGATTGATCCAGGGGATCCCAGAATGATCTGGGAGATCCCATATTGATCCAGGGGTTCCAGGTCAATCTGAGGGTCCTGATTGATCTGGGGGATTCCATATTGATCCAAGGGGCCTGGATTGATCCAGTGGATCTCAGACTGATCCAGGGGGGGTCCATATTGATCCAGGTGTCCCAGATCGATCTGGATGTCTTGGGTTGATCCAGGGGATTCTGCATTGATCCAGGGGTCCTGGATTGATCGAGAGGGTCCTGATTGATCTGGGTGGTCTCAGATTGATCCAAAGGATCCCAATTGATCTGGGAGGCTTCGACCACCAGCCCACTGTATTTCCCATTCCCATTGGCACAGATGCATTTTATCCTTCCATTTCCGTTTTCAACATGAGGATTTGGGAACACCCCTCCCCAGGGAGGGGCACAGACCAGCTCTGGTGTTCCACACCGAGTCCAAACTCGTGTTTTCCCTCCTCCCAGCTCTCACCTTGCAGTGCTACACGTGCAGGAGCGAGACCCCCGTGGAGAAGTGTGTGACCATCGAGAACTGCTCGGAGACCGAGAACATGTGCAAGACCACCATGTATTCCCTGGAGGAGGGTAAGGACAACAACCACTTTATCCCTACTTTCAACATGAATCCTGAAGGAGGGTAAGGACAACGGCTTCTTCATCTACACTTTTAACAAGAATCAGTGTTTCTACAGTGAAACTGCTGGTGTGGAGAGCAAGTCCTTTTTTCACTTAAATGTGGGAAAGAGCTCCTGTGGGGCAGAGTCTCCTGCTGCTGCTGCTGAAAGCAGTGTTTGTGTGAGTAAATATTTAAGGTTCTCAAGCTCCCAGCTAATGGTGAGCATGGTTAGAAATGAGAGTTGAATTTTTTCCATGGTTGTGCAGTGATAGGACAACAGGGAATGGCTTAAAGAGGGTAAGTTTAGGTTGGATATTAGAGACAAATCCTTCCCTGTGAGGGTGGGGAGGCCCTGGCACAGGTTGCCCAGAGAAGCTGTGGCTGCCCCACCCCTGGAAGTGTTCAATGTCAGGTTGGACAGGGCTTGGAGCAGCCTGGGATAGTGGAAGGTGTCCCTGCCCATGGAGGATCTTTAAGTTCCCTCCCAACCCAAACCGCTCTGTAGTTTTATGACACCAAATTCTGGTCACCTGAAGGTGAAAGAGGAATGCCCTGAAGTTCTTTGTAGTTCTCAAAGAGACTTTGCCAGTCTGACTGGTGACCCTGAAGGTTCTGGAGATGGAGGTTCTCCCTTTGGAAGGTCCTGCTGATGAGTCCCTGGTCACGCTTGGAGAGGGAGGAGATGGTGAGGAGAGTCCAAAGAGAGGCAGAAAAAGTGGCTAATCCACCTTTTTTAGGGTAATGCTCATCCAGGCAGGACAAAGAGCTCATGGTCACTCAGGGGGAGCTGCTTCCCATATTCCTGGTAGGAATCACATTGTGTTTGAACCAGAGCTAAGACTTTGGTAGGGAAGGCGAGAGGAAGAAGCATTTCACTAGGGACAAGGAGAGCTCTCCTTCATTTCCCCCAGCCCTAAACATCCCTTCTGTCTCTCTTTGTGTCAGTTTATCCCTTCACTGGAGTCTCCACTGTCACCAAGATGTGCTCATCCGTGTGTGTCCCGTCGGACGTGGACGGGATCGGGATGACCCGCCCCGTGTCCTGCTGCTACTCCGACCTGTGCAACGCGGACGGTGCCACGAGCCTGAGGATCAGCCTGGTGCCAGTGGGGCTGCTGGCAACTTCCCTGTGTGTCTTCTTCTGGACTAGACCCTGAGGAGCTGATGGGAAGTTCTTTCACTCTGGAGAACCCAATGAAGAAGAGGAGAAACCCCCCACCAGCCCAGCTTTCCCTTTGGATGCTTCATGAACAACCTCCAATTCCAACCTTCAAAAATCCATTCTTTTTTTATTATTATTATTATTATTATTATCCACCCCTTTCCCACAATTAACAGAGGAGCAAAAACTCAGGAAGTCCCAACACAGTTTTCTAATTTTAATTTTTCAACTGCTCCCACAAAACCAGCTGTGGAGTTTCGTTGCTCTGCTGGGCTGGTTGGTTTGGAACTGAAAAATTCCACTGTGTGAAGTATATTTAAGGCAAAAAAAAATATTATAAGAGCCTTTCATGACTCCTTAGAGCAGGTCTTTTCCACCCCAAAGTTTTGGGCTGGCTCTTTGTTCTCTCTAGGTCTTCTTTGTACCCAAGAAATTAAGGAGACCCTTCTCTGTGTCCAAAATATGAGGCAGGAGATTCAACTTCCCAGGCCAATGATCTGATCCAGGGAGGCCGAAATCTCTCGTTTTCTGTACCCCTTCAAGTAGAATAAAAAGAATGTTGTGTTGAAAGTGTATTGATCCCATTTAATTGTGTTATTTTCTGCCCAAACCCCAGTTCCAGCTTTCAGGATTGTTTATACAGGGAGATGAGTGAGGTTTTGTGGTCGGTCTTGTAGGAGATTTCCAAGACATTTCCAGTTATCCCTCATTGGCAGTGGCCTTCCATGAACATTTCTTCCACCAACATTTCTTCCACCAATTCCACTGGAACAAAACTGTCTTGACTTGGAATTTTGGGTGATTTGAGTGATGATTCTGGCCTGAATTTGGAATTAAGTGTAATTTCCCCCCTTTATTTTAATCCTCTGGAGCATCACCTGAATTCCTTGTGTGTTGGCCAAAGCTCCCACATTTTGCTCCATCCTGACCTGGTTCTGCGTTTTCTTATAATCCCCTTTTTCAAGTTTCAGCAAAAATATTTGCCTTCAGTTATCATTCTGCTTGTGATATTTATAACAATCAATAAAGTTGTGATTTAAATGGGATGTGATTTAAATGGGACGTGATTTAAATGGGATGTGATTTAAGGGGATGTGATTTAACCAGGATGTGATTTAAAAGCTATACGGTGTGAAATACAGAAAGCTTCCAACAGAGGTGGTTCAATTCCCATCTTTGGAAGTTTTCAAGGCCCAGGTGGACGAAGTCCTAAGGAAATTTGGGAGCTTTGATCAGGAATTTGGATTGGAAGCCTCCTGAGGTCCCCTTTCCAACGTGAGCTCCCTACAATCTCACCCTAAGGTCACCAAAACACAACCACCAAATATTTCCAGGCATTCTCCAAAGTCTGGGAGATCTTCCTGCTACGATTTTCACCTCTCCTGCTTTGCTTCCCGTTGCCAAACCGAGACCAAATTTGGAACGAGCTGCAATTCCAGATCCAAGCAGAGCTCCCAGGTTGCTCAAATATAATTCCTTTGCTGGAAGAACATCGTGTACTTGGTCATGGTGCTGCCCTGGCATGGAGAGGGCTGGATCAACCACATTCCTGGCTCTGGAAGGGCTTTTGGAATGAGTTGAAGGCTTAATTAGCTGGCAGTGGGAGTTTTGCAGCGTCCTCTACCCACGAGCCATGGCCAGAGCTCCATTCCCAGAGGCAGTTTTGGATTTCTCCTGCAAAAAGACAAATCCATGGAGGTTCTCCCTTTTAACCTGCCTGTTCTGGCAGAGCAGCCTCAGGTTTTGCTGGACCCCCAAGAGCAAAACACCACCACAGAGTCCCGTTGCACATTGATTTTATTCCCACTCCCAGCCTTCACTGCACCTTTTGGGTTTAACTCCAATATTTCACTGAGGGCAGTTTGGTTCTCTTTCAAACCCTCCATCTCACAGTTTTCTTCAGATTCCTCATTCTCATAGAAGAGAACACTCCTTGTCTACCCTTCCTACATCATTTATATTAAATATGTTAAATGTCCACCTCTATCTACCTTTCCTACATAATTTATGTTATATGGCCCTGTGTCCACCCTCTATCTACCTTTCCTACATCATTTATGCTAAATAGTCCTATATCCACCCTCTATCTACCATTGCTACATCATTTATGTTAAATATGTTAAATGTCCACCCTCTATCTACCTTTCCTACATCATTTATGTTTTATGGTCCTGTGTCCACCCTCTATTGACCTTTCCTACATCATTTATGTTATACGGACCTGTCCATATAACCAGTCCACCCTGGTAGCTCTTTTCCAAGCCCCAAATCCCTTCTCTAAATCCAGGTATCCCTCATGAATCCGTGAGAACACGAACCCATTTGTGCCCCAACAGAGGACCATCAGAAACCCAGATGGAACCTCATGGAGAAGGAAAAGTGTCCCAGATCCTCACCAGTCCCAGGACATGCTTGGAAGTGCCAAG